TCTCTTATCTATAAACAAATCCTTAAAGCCTCATCATTTCAGTCCTGATCAGCAAAAGTCCATTAAGGGTTACCAGAGATAATAATGTATCTTTTTTAACCTTGATCAAATAACCAGCTTTATATTCCTTTCTTTTACTTTTAACAATCTTGATCTTTAGTCCCTTCAAATAATTTTGAGAAGAGAACTTAATTTTCTCTTCATTTTTTCTTTGTCCTGTCTCACAAAATTCTTCAAAGCTTTAACAAACCTCTTTTGTAAATCCAGTATAGGAAGTTTATCCAGGTCACTCTTTTGATTTGTTATTTGTATATTCCTTTTTATTATTAAGACATCAGCTGATAGCATTTTTTTCCATATCATTCTTGTAGCCTGTCACTTTTAAATCCACTTTCAGATCAGGATCAGTCTTGTCCGATGACATTTGTTCCTCTTCCATAACATCTTTTAAACACAGTCTATCTATAGAGGCAGATAGTCTTAAAATTAACTTCTGGGTCCAAAAATATCCTTCAATATGTCAAATGTTAAAATATTTTGTTCCATTCTGTATTAGTAAGTCAAATTTAACTGTTCTTAATTGTAATCTTTAGTTCCTTCTGGCACCCTCTAGTGTCCAGCCTTCAAAGTCTCATCCTATCATGTTTTTTTTAATTCAAATTTAAAATTCAAAAATTCAATTTTTTTTTTAGAATTCAAAACAAAAGCATTTTCCCACAGGAAGGATTCTTATAATTAATTCCAAAATCTTATTTCAAATCCATCTGGTTTTTTTTAATTCAAATTTAAAATTCAAAAATTCAATTTTTTTTTTAGAATTCAAAACAAAAGCATTTTCCCACAGGAAGGATTCTTATAATTAATTCCAAAATCTTATTTCAAATCCATCTGGACCTTTAGTCTGTTTGTAACTTTCCAAAATCTGTTCTAATCACCCTTTTTCTGTTTATTCCAAAAGAAAAAAAATTAAGTCTTTAAACTTGTATTTAAAATCTCTTTCATTAAGGATGGAAGGAAACTCACCCAGTGCTGTAAAACGTGTTGATCCAAAGGTTCCTAATAGCTGAAAAGCAGTTAACAAGCAAATTCCAAAAGTGGCTAGAAAAGGAAGTATGCAAACCCAGTGTCCTTTTGAAGGCACTGACTATGGGTTCAACAAGATGGCTTTTCCCTTGTCTCCCAGAGCTCTAACCAGCTGGAGAGCACTGTCTTACTGTCTCCTCATGAGGAGCAACTGTCTGGAGCATTTGTGGGCGATCTCAAGTCCTCTTCTTGTCTGGAGAGGAATTATCAAAGAGCCAGTCTACTTGCCGACTCTTCATTCTCCCACTCTCATCAGCTCCTTCAGTTTGCCATTTCTACCCTGGAAGTCCGTTACAAGCACTGTGATGCACGTAAAAACGGACAGGTCTTCAATGACGTGGTTGTGGCTGCCATCCTGACATTTTTTACTCCCCTACAGACACCCCTATGCATGAGCATTTGTTGCTTGAAATACTGCCTGAAACAAAGTTTCTGGGGTGAGTTCTTGGCTTGGACTAGCATCACTGATAAGTTTATTTCCTCTTCATAAAAACGGTGTGACTCCAGAGGGTTCCAAATAAGTGCAGAAACCAGCCCTGTAAGTCACAAAAAAAGACAGTGAAAGACTCCTTTCAAGGAGACAGTGTGTAAGTAGCACCCATCTTTAAGTATTTTGTCAGGAGACAGTCTAGTAATATTCTAAAACTGATGGACTTTTTTCCAAGTGGAAAATGTATGGAAAAGGAACCTTTGCGTGTGATGCATGCACTCATGTCCCAGGAATTTCTGCTAAGCAGGTTTGTAAGGTTTTATAATGCATCAAACTCTGCAGTTGAGGGGCATCCTGTGTACTACCTGCAATAAGACTCTAAAATTATATTTTGTGACAGGAAAATGTAACTGTTCACATTACAAAGTTTGAGAATTAAAACATTTTTTGCTCAGGTACAGAAACTGACCTGTAAATTTCTAAAAACAATTTTAACACAACCAATTCCTCTGAAAATGCTCTATCCAAGGTTGTTGCTCCTATCTATAGTGTGTATCTTTGCCAGAGGATGCTACTGTTCCTGTTATTGTTTTTATTACTTCAAGTACAGTAGAAGGACTTCCACCTTTAGATCAATTATTCATAATAAAGCCAGCACAGGAACTTCAACATATGGTAGCTATCATATACTAAAGAACTATGTTCAGTGTTTGTCTGTGGATTCCATGATAAACAAAGATTGCGTTGGATAATCTTGGCCAGAGTTTACATTATTCTCCAGAAAACCTTTTAGAGTGGGTGGTCCCTAGTGCCCAGCAGTGAATATCAGGGTATCCTGGCACCCCCTCTCTACTTCAACCTGGCAATTTAGCCTTAGTGTCAGTATTGCAACTATAGTGACAGCCCTGGCCCTTTTCCCTGTCCATAGAAGATGGTTCTAGCTAATCCAGTTCCAACGTTACTATGATAATGGTTCAGTATTTAATTATCAAAATATTATTCAGCCCAAGTGGATCACATAGACAGCATGTAGAAGCTTAGATCATACTAGCAAGTTTACATTTCACCTCCTAGCCAAAAGCTTGAAGATAACACTTATCCCCTATTGTTCCTCCCAGATTTCCATCCACACCAACCTACATTGATTTCTGATATTTAAGACAACAAATGGTTAGTCCTTGAATTAATTAATAATTTACACTCAATCAATTCACAGTTATCAGTGAATTACAAAGCAATATATAACCATAAGGAAAGACTGACATAAGACCTTCTCAATCCTGTCCATTTATTGAAGATTTACTTGAACAAAGCTACATTATTACTTCTGGAACAAAACAGAAGTATTATCTGTCAACTTGTATTTGCATTAGATAGTGGCTAAAAATATTTCTATTTAGATTACTTATACATTGATCAACATGTGACATATACGTTTTAATAAACTAGACAAGCAGAAAAGCCATCATAGTGTTTATTTCTTCAACTGCCTAAACTAAAACTTGAAGGCACAGATTACCTGCAGTTTAGTAATGTTATAGTTGCTCAATTGATTAAAAATACTGCAAGATTGGTAGTACTTCATTTTTTAAAAATGTTGCAAGTTAGGCTTTTGTAACATGAGACTAAATTTCAGTTTATGCAGGACTGAACTCCAAGGGTTTGCTGGAGATCCAAGATTTGTCTTGTTTTATTTTACTTTTTTTAACTGAAAGGCAGCCTTGAGGGACTATAAATTAAACTGTAACTTCAGTGTTAGAAAAGGTGCATAAACAGAGTATTTGTATTAAGGAAATTGCATTTCCTTTACTTTTCCAGCTATGGTAGAGAAAGTCAATTTCCCCCATCTTCCACCCTCCTTCCCAAAGTTGTACTGTAAAGGCAGTTGGGAAAATGTAGCAAAAAAGGGTTGTGGGGAGCTTGTTGCAATGCAGTGGTCAAATGGGTAGCCCTTCCTGACACGTTTCTAGAAATAAGAAATTTGGGGAATTGTAGTACTTTTGTAATCTATACAATATACCTTTGTATAAGGGCAATAGAAACAGATGTGGAAATAATAAACATATAACTGTCCAGGATGTTCATTGTCCCGCTTAGCATGCTTATTCAACTTATCTTTTGCAAGTTTTACAACCACTTTAGAAACCATTTATTAAATAAAATGAGCACGGTCCACCTGATCTCAGATGGCCACTTTGGGAACACGCATGTTCTGCTGCAATGGGCTTTGTTTTATTCATGAACGGTTTGCTGCATCATTTTTTTTAGGATGGGAGAGGGAAAGAAGCTATCATGTTACATCATTGAATAGAATGAATTAAAGTTTATCAACTGTAACAATCAGTAGTTGAAAGTTTCCATCAAGAGTTAAGCTTGACCACAGGTAGTTTGCTTGGTAACAATAGAAAAAACTGCCGCTGCCTTTTTTTTCTAATTTTAGTCTAGCCTAGACCTCTGGAATTATCCTGATAGACTCCCATTTAAGTACTAACACATCGAATCTCACTTAGTTTTTTGCAAGATCACCATGGTTGACTAGGTGCTGCCATCTAGCTGGGAGACAAAATTTAAACACCAGCTGGAAAACAACCATTTTCTCAAATGGAAGAAACTACAAAATGGAAAGAAAAAAATAGAGCTTTTAGAAATGTTAGCATTTGCAGTATTGATGTTATCCATGCATACAGTGTATCACTGAACACCATTTACTGAAGTATAATACCTTACTTCCAAACACTGTTGTTCAAACAGCCCAGTCACAATGGAACAATGTCCAAATCTCAAGAAATGACTGGTAGCTGACTAATTTTGCTATTTTTCATGGAAATTCACCTAGAGATTTGTCTTCTTTTAACTGAATTTTAATAAGCAAATAAACACCCATTGATCAAGGACAATTTGCAACATGATCTCCTCTGTTCAGGCTTTGAAACAGCTCATAAAAGAGAAGGGACACAATCAAGTAGGAAAATGCTAAGATCTTGAAATATGAAAATGAAAGGTAACTGGAGGACAACAGGATCTTATTAGACTTACAGGTATTTACTAACATGTCTGAAAAGTAGTTGTATTATTTGATTTTGATAAAGGTCTCTTCTTCATCCCCACTATTTTTTTTTTCCATTTGAGAAGGACCAGGGAGAAAAAGAAGGGGGGAAAAAACCCAAGGAGAGTCAAAATTGCTTACATTTATTCCAAACCAGTCCTATTTTAATTAGGCATGTTTATGTTTGTAAGGCAGTATCACTAACAGTCATTTGCAGGCCACCAGTAATTGTCTTATTAGCAGAAATGTCAGTGAGTAATGGTGAAGGATCCCACATGAAATATACTCCGTCAGAAAAATATGCTACATCGCCACAGAAACGTAGCCTTACTACAAAAGAGTAAGAAATAATAAAAATAGTAATATTGTAACATTATGTCTTGTGGTGGCCTACATCTGGAGGAAAACAACACCCCCACTAGGCTCATAGTACAATGCACTAATAAGGAAGCTTCAGACCTTTGCTGTTACCTCCAAAGAGTAGTCCAAGCAATATATTTGGAGATATTAGGTAAGTTCTAACCCTTGAGTACAATGAATGAGAAACAGAAGTCCCAGGTAAAAAAAGCAACCTGAGACAAAGCCAGCTGAGAAAAACAAAACAAAACAAAACCAATCTCAGAGAAAAGGGAAAAAAAAGATTCCAGGGAAGGCAGAGTTCACTTTGGAAACAGACAGCTTAAAAACCACAAACAGCAACATAAAAAGCACATGGCAGAGTTCCTCAAAGTTTGTAATAGCAGAAGGCAGCCAAACACCCTTATGCCTTCGTGACCAAACTGGCTCCTTTCCCCCTGAAGGTGCTGGGGTCTTTGCTCTCCATCTCAGCGTGCTCTCCTGACAGTCTTTGGGTGAGGGAGTGTACTGTGGCCTGAGTGTTACAGCTGGTGGAGGGTCTGTAATAGCAAGTGCCGAGCAAAGGAGCAGGAATCCAAAGCACGGTTAGGTCTGTTGAGATAAAATGGAAACGACGGAATAAAACTTTTCCTTCAGATTTTTCTTAAACTGTACTGACTCAACATGTACTCTGAAGAAGGAGTACAAACTGCAATTCTGCCCAAGAAGAAATCTGAAACTTATAGACAACAATTATTAGATATTTTAAAAAAGAAATATTGAAGATTGACATGACATCTAGGGAAACAGGGTGCTTATTTTGTAGTTTATATGAGAAGGCTGCTGTGGTCAGAGAAGATTTTGAGAGTTAATATTTTGATATGGACCAAAACAATCTTGTGCAGCAAAAGTAAGAATTTATAACAAAAGAAAACTTCTCCAAAGGAGGCAACTCGGTCCATGACATCAGCAACCTTCATTTGTTAGCATGAGGGCCATGGATAAGCAAGACTATACATATGTAAGAGTGTAAGTTATTAGAAAAAAGAAGTAGTAAGCCATTTAACCTTCCACAACTTGGTGTGTGTGACCTGAGCCCCAGCTCCATTAGGAAGTCCATTCATATTTCAAGCAGCAAGTGCTATACAAACAGAGTAATAATACTTGTACTTATATCGGTATTGGAGATAGTCGGAAGTCACTTTTTGTTTCATCTTTCTATCTGATCTCACTTTTAGTTTTTGTCTTTCTTTTAGTTCTATCTTCTCTCTTTTCTATATCTTCTGATTTGTATTTTAATTGTACTTTTTATATATCTTAATAAAAGTTTTGACCAGGAAAAAAAACACAGAGTAATAATACTGTTAGATTAGATTATTTTTAACTAGAAACCAAAATACATCTGATCTCACTTTTAGTTTTTGTCTTTCTTTTAGTTCTATCTTCTCTCTTTTCTATATCTTCTGATTTGTATTTTAATTGTACTTTTTATATATCTTAATAAAAGTTTTGACCAGGAAAAAAAACACAGAGTAATAATACTGTTAGATTAGATTATTTTTAACTAGAAACCAAAATACATTGTAGATTATTGTCAAGGAAAATACAATTTCCAATATTTTTCCTTCATCAACCAGGAAACCCTCTGCAGTATTTCAGTGGAAGATTTTTTACTTTTTCTAGCTTCTTTTGAATTGGAAAAAAAAATCTAGGCTCACAGACACATAGAGGAAAAAAGAAGTAACTTCTTGATGTAAAAATGCCATATTAAATCCAGTTTCATTTATTATCATGGTTTTAATATCTTAAATATACAAGTGTGTTCATTTTAATTAAACATGATAGTGTACAGTGCACTACATAAACATTTAAAGAAGTAGCTGTTTTTGTAGTCTGACTTGTACAAGCTTATATATTTGTGAATTTCCTTCCATTAGAATAACTACATTTATTAAAGGGTCTTGCCTGAAAAATATCAAGCAATATTTACTTCTTAACCCCAAAACTGGGCTAAGAAGTAATGTCTCTATTTATTTATACAGTTCCTATACTGCTTAACTCCGAAGGCTCCAAGCAGTATAACAATGAAAGTAATACATTAATAAACACTAATATGACAATAATAAATAAATCAATAATAATATCATTAAAAAACAGCACTAAACATGACAATCACTATTCATAAACGTCCCTCTAGAAAAGGCATGTTTTTACAAGTGTCTGGAAGGCCATGGGAATAGAAGCCACCCTCACTTTGGGGAGCAAGTTATTCCATAGGAGGGGAGCCCCCCCCACAGAAAACACCCACTTTCATGACCCCTCCCACCTCATCTTTTGAGAGGTGAGGACCCTTAGCAGGCTTTTCTGTTCACTTGGGTTCAGCAGGCAAAATCTAAATAGGAAAAGTGTTCTTGTAGATAGATACCCTGGTCCCAAGACATAGAGGATTCAACGAGTAATAACAACACATTGAATTGCATTTGGAATCCTACTGGGAGCAAGTGCAGCTCCCAAAAAAGCACTGTTCTTTGGCAGTGCCACGATTACCCATTATCTTTGCTCAACAATAGGTTGACTAATTAGTTCACTAATTCCTGTGAACTGGTAGGAAAATATAATTAGATTTTTTTCCTATAAGTATTGCTAATTGTTCCACAGAGATCACAATACTCACTTTGTGACAAAGGCCAAGAGAATTGGGACAAGGGACTTGGGAAAATAATCCTGCTGGACCATGTGGTTCAGCGTCATTAGAGGGCCATAAAGACTCGGAACAGCCCTGATCTTCTCTTCACTCTGAAAGGTGAAAGGAAAAAAGAATCCAGGTAAGTTACTATATCTAAGAGATGCCAGCAACATTTACTTGGATAGCATAGTTAAGCTTTCTAAGTTCATGCTCAGTTGTCAGCTCCCATAACTACACACAGAATCCATTTTGTTCCATGCTGCAAACTTTCTGGCAATCCTTCAGCAACTTTTCTAAATTCAGACACTGAGCTGGGATAACCCCATGTTTTTGTTTTTGTTTTGCCTCCCAAAAGAGTATGGTGTGATGCTACTGTGTTGATTGCATCTTCACAAAGGTGAACAAACAGAAGATAGTGTTTCCCATTAAGTTACTGCTTGAACACACCAAGATGTGATCTTTGTCTTTCCAAATGTAATATTTGCATTTATTTGTTTATAACCCTTCTGCTATACTAAGAACAGAAAGAGCTACATCTGATTTAGAATACCCTGGTGTGATAGAATGTCCAACAGACCCTGGGAACACAGAGGATGCAACATGATGGTTATAGGAAGAAGCAGGGCCATTAATAGTTCTGCCTTAATAAAAGATTCTGTACATGGCCCTAGCGATAAAGACCTTTCCAGAAATCCAAATAGTTCTTGTTTCCTTAGTTTTCTGACCTCAGTCGGCTTAACCATTCTTCAGATCAATGTTTATCTAATGTAATTAAGGCAGAGTTACTTCCACATCAATCTTTTCTGTAATGGCCCTGTTTCATCCTTTAACAGTTATGCTCCCTCCTCTGTGTTCCCAGGATCTGTTATACATTCCATACCTGATATGAGATCTTCACCTACTTAATTTTTTGTGCTTTTTGGAATAAAAAAAATATACAATCAAGCCTGATAGCTGTCAGAAATCACCTATCTCTGTTCTCTTACCTTTAGCAATCCCATGTGAATCAAAAGACTTGTTATGAAAGCATCAGAATTGAAGTTAGCTGATGAAAAAGCTTCTCTCATCAAAGCATCTAAAAAGAGCAGATTGCATTAGAAGCATGGAGACCCTAGCCCTTAGAGTACTAAATTATTTGATTTTGGTGCAGTGCCCAACATCCTATAGTCTAAGGGAAGATAGCACATTTAGCATCACAATCCTAGTTAGGTAACAATTCCAAATATTTAAAAATAAACCCAAAGGGAAAAATAACTAGCTGCAATTCCCATTACTATGCATAACAACTCAGGATGCAAGGGCATGAATTAGGTTGCTATAGTGAAAGGCAGCATGCCTTTATAAAAATAAGCAAGACTGAGCTATTAAATTGAGCTATTTTGTAAAACAGTGCATAAAGAGAAACAGAGAGCAGGAGGTGCAAAAAAAACCAAACCCACGACAACTACATTTAATATGAAACTTAGTCTGCTACAGAGATACACAATTTCTGTTAGCTGGACATCTACGCTGGCCTTTGCATAGCATGCCGAGAGCCATATTCCAAAGGCGAGCAGTTTATTTTTATTTTGTTAAAATACACTGCAGATTTTCTCTTCACCAGCAGATACCAATGTGTTGTTTTAGCATTATGATATCCTCTATTGATAAAGAAGACTAGTGTTTTCTTTTTTTAATCAATGGAAGAACAAGTGAGAATTAATACGAACAGTTTCCCCCCCACCTTTTTCTTCCTTTGATGTCCTCAGGCATTTAAGCCTTCAGAAGCTTCAAATCCTTTAAACTTCCCAAGAAACCAGAGGAAAATTGCTCAATTTGGGGGTGTAGGATGGGAGGGCAATTTAAAGGGTGAAAGGTATAAAGTACTCAATATAGCCCCATAACCACATCAAACCCACCAGAAAGTCCAAAACTGTCAGACTGATCCACACTGGCAGTTATACCCACCTCCTGCTGGGTTGTGTGCAGCCCAGAGGCCATACTACGTACAGCCCTGTTCAAGAGGATGAAGCTGAGGAACTTTGGGCCATACCTGGCCTCACCATGGAAGCTTGCTTAATTGTTCTAAGGAACAGACTTTTTTTCTATTTGAGGTCAGTCTTTTAGCTGTAGCAGCAGTTAAGGGACAAGTACAGCAAGATGTATGTGGTGAGAAAATGCAAAAAGTTTGCAAATGTGATACTGTCATGTTGGGACAACATAAAGCTTCCAAACCATAGCAATTATGTGATGGTGGTCCCAGAATCTAGTATTTGGCCCAATCTCATTATGTTTGATCTCCTGAGCTACAGGAGACTGTAGCTGCAAGTTGCCAAAAGAAGAGAGTTTATTAAAAATCTGATAGGCACTGTACCTGATAGATGTGCACATAGATGGATCTACTTATATCATCATCTTACTGATTAAAGTTTATTTATATATCAAATTTGTCACCACCCATCTAGTTAAAAAGCAACTCCGGGCAGAGAAGTTACCAGCCTTTGAACAAAAAAGACATACCTGTTGTTTCATTCACTGCTGTTTTTACTACTGTCTCATCTTTGAAGACAGAAGAGATCTTAAGGAAAACAGTAACAACTTTTTCTATGTCAGATGTGTCTGTCTAGAAGAAATATAACATCAAAATTAAATTTGCTAAGATAGTTTGTCACTAGAAAGAACAAGTGGCCCATGCTGCTACTTATAGAATCTCAACCCATAAAAACTGGAAGTTGCATTCAGGTAGAAAGCATACTGTGCCAGGGAATATGAACACACACACACACACGTATATATATGTGTATGTGCATGTGTGTGTGTGTGTGTGTATATATGTACATATATTTCTAGTCATATAAGTAGCAGAGACTTTTGGAGATTTTCTAGTGCTAATTTATTGGTTACATATCAAATCCTTACAAATGTCAATTTCCAGCTATAGCTTTGCATAAGATCTAGGCAATTGGCACTCTGGATTTGATTCCAAAGCAGTGTTTCAGTAGGCAGAGATGCAAAGAGAACACTGGTCTGCAATTCCATAAAACAGCTGCATCTTTTTCCAGAATCCCAGGGCATGCCTTGAAGACCTTTCTGGAGTCAGATCCAAAGTGCTGCACAGCCCTACCAACTCTTACTTCTCCAAGGAAATAACAGTTTGAACTGATTTAGAAAGCTTGCAGAGCTGCTATGTGATAAGGGGCTTAATGCACATTAGAATTCTAATAGCTGATAAGTTTATACTACATCTGTAAAGTTAAATCTGGGTTTATGTATTGATATCAAATTCCTTTCTAGGAGTTCATTTGTGTAGGATTAGATAGGTTTCTACTGACTTTTTGGAAACATTTTGATACAACAATGAAATATTCAGAATATTTTCCATACAGATAGATATATCTTTAAAAAAAATAGAGACACCAGTTGAAAGGAACAGAACTACTGAGCAACTGGTAGTATTAGCCATGGTGCATAGAAAAGTGTGTTGCGTGAAATATAAGCAATGGCTTACCTGCTGAGTTATCAAAGTCGAACACTTGGAACCAAGTCGCAACAATTTCTCTGGCGATGGGAAAGCTAGAAAGGTGCCAACGTCAACAGGAGGAAGAGGAGGAGAGGATAATGGAGTAGAATCCTGGAAGAAATCATCCTGAAAATTAGCCCTTTGCCAGGAAATACAGAAAAAGTAGAAGTGGTGTAGCAGATGAGAAATGAGGGAAAGGGCAGTGTGGCAAAAGTAGATTCATTCATCAACAAGTAGTGTATCTTGTTCCAAGTTTATTTGGGGGATAAATACCTTTAAGATCTTGTTACCACCCAAAGATGATAGGGTTCTAATTCTGAGGTTTGATCTTATACTGACATTGTCACCTCTTTTATTTGTTATTTCCTACTAGCATAGTATCTTAGATGGGAGATAATGATATAACCTTTCTCTCATTACTCACAGGACTAGTTATCATTAATAGTTATTTTATTTAACAATAACTTTGTACAGCAAAGGATATGAAAACCCGCTCTTTTTAAAACAAGTCCTCTGTGCTTTATTATAGAAAGGTTCTTCAGCTAATCACAAGGGCTACCAAGATCTCTCTTTCCTTTAGATTTTCAGATAATAGTTATCCTTCCTCTTCTTTTCCTGCTTTTTACCCTGTTGAACTGTCAACTGCTACCTCTTCTCTTCTTGTCCCCCACCTCTAAATTCTGTTCGCTTTCTGTCTGTGCTCCTAAAAGAAAGGGACCAGTAACACTTTATTTGCATTACTTAAAATATGCAGGCAGTTTTAAAACAAAACAGCCAGCATGGCTTGGATATGAACATAGGAACACACTTTAGGAACAACATCTGCAGGAATCTGATTAGTATATATGACTACATTTATTAGGAAAACTTAAATGTACATCACATTAATTCTAGCCAAGTGTATGAATGGGAAAAAACATGAAATATGTTCAAGTACATACATTACTTGTAAATTTTATTTTTGGCTATTTTGGAAACATAACAACTCAGAAACATACACTTTCTTATGTTAAGTTTCAAGGGGAAAAAAGCAACAAAGCAAAATTAATTTAAGCAAGTGTAGATGTATGCATTTATTTTCATTAGACAAGCATACATAATTCCTTAAGGATAATTATCTGAAAAAGTCAGCAACTATAAAACTGATAAATTTGTCTAGCAATGTATTAGTTCAATATATTAATTTTATGCAATGCTCATGAAAGTGAAAAAGATGACAATGAATAAATTGCCAGAAAAGCTTTCTCCAACTGCACCAGTTTCTCCTCTTGTTTAAATTAGAAGAGTATACTTATACCTACATGTTCCTCTAAGATTTTTTTAGGTGTATGGGGTTCTTGTTCCCCCTGTCCCCTCTCCTGCACCTGAGGTGGCTCTTCTTCCTCTTCCTCCTCCTCCTCCTCCTCCTCCTCTTCATCTTCCTCCTCTTCCTCTTCCTCTTCCTCCTCCTCTTCCTCATCTTCTCCTTCATCATCACTAGATGAATTTGTACAAGAATATAACTATACATACTTCTGGGAAACATACACAAATATTTATTTCTGGTCAGCTTGTGATCATCATTGCTAAAGTGTACACATACATGA